AATTATTTTCAAATAGTTGAGCCTGGGTCTGGATTGAATAAATCACATTGATGCCAATTTCCAGGGAAGTCCTTTCATATTTTATGATTTGCTCCCCACCTTTCCCCCCTGCCTTCCTTGCGCTCCTGTTAATGAACCAGGAGATTGTGCATACTGCTTGGACGTCCCTACTGCTAAACCCCAAATGGAAATGCTGCTGCTGAAAGCATTGCAGTTCGGGATTTTTTTCCCCCCTCCTCACCATGCTGGGGAAATTGATATGCAGCCAGGATTATGCTTTGTTTAAAGCTCAGCCCAGGCTTCTGAAAGAATACATTATCCAAATCGGTGCATGTGGTTGAAATTCTGCAAAACTCACTTGTGTCACACGTGGCTTGCCAATGAGGTGTCCAGCGGGGTCTCAGGCAGCATAAACATCCTGGATCAGAGAGTATAGCTGTGGAAAACCATCCACGGTGGAATATTCCTGGATACAATAATTTATTCTGCTGCTCGTGCAAGGTAGGCCCACCGGGTAACTCTGCCACCACCATGGCCATCAGAATGCCACCAACTCCAGATCTGAGGACAGATGCAGTACCATGCTTCTTTCAAGCTTCTTTAAAATTAGCATTGATTCAAAGAACTGGTTGGAGATGAACACAGAGGCCAGAGGTATTTTTCCTTCCTTTTCCATCTGTGAAATGGTTGTAAAAGAACCAAGCCTGACTGTAACCTGGGAGTTCTACAACTGTGGGTGAAGGAGCTGGACCTACATGGGTTGCTACAGATCTTGATTCTCTCCATGGAGGAGGGTACAGGAAGAATGACTCGCTGGTGACAATTTGGGAACCAGTGCAGTCCCACTTGTTCTTTAAATGTTAGAGTTTTAATGATTTAGGAACCAAAAGAATAACTAAGGAGCCCAGCAGTCATTATCTCAAATAATGAGACTTTTTAATGCAAAATCAATGTTTGTTATAATGAAAATAGATTCCTCGGCTCCTGCAGGGCCAAATGTACAAATCTTTTGTGCTGTTAAATAAAATGTGACGGCTCATTTTCAGGAGGATGGTGAGCATTTTTATTCAAGAGTAAAAATAAAATGTCAGAACTTATTTACTTTTATTAAGTGCTCATTCTCAATCAGATACTCTAATCAATATCTAATTGGAGGCGAGGAAACGGAAAATAATTTTTATGCCAGCTTGGGAAGAAGAAAGGAATGGAGAAGGAAAGAAGGGGAGAAAAAGACACATAACACATTTGGGGTTATAATGATAGCAAATACTTATCAAGTGGATGCACAGTGCCAGGACTGCGCTACGGTGGGTGCTCTGTGTGGTGTCATGTCTTGTGCAGTCACTCTGGGGTCAGCATGTCTGTGAGTCCTGTTTACAGATGACAAAACTGAGGTTTGGTGCAGATCCTGGTCCGGTGTCTCTATAATCAGTGGTAGAGCCAGATTGAAAGCAGGGTCTTTCTGACTCTTCAGCTTTAGCTCTTAATTATGTATATGGCCATAGAAGATGTCTTTTCTTTTACTTTTAATTTTTAATGAGTGATCTTTGAGAGGCTGGATTTCCCGGTGATGAAAGTTTTACTCTTATGAACAAAGAAACTGTAAACTTAAAATGGTTTTGGAGGTAAAACTTTTTCTCAGATATATTTCATTCTTCTCTGCTTTGGGAAACAGTACAGATAGCCTCCAATTTATGATGGTTTGATTTATGTTTTTACTTTACAATAGTGTGACAGTAACAGACATTCAGCAGAAATCATACTTTTGAATTTTGAATTTTAATCTTGGGCTAGTGGCATGCAGTATTGCACTCTGTCCTAGACAGTGGTACTGCTCCCAGCCGGCCAGGAATCCCAGCTCCCTGTCAGCGAGGGGATCACCAGATAAATAACTGATTCTCTACAGTGTATTGTGCTGTAAATCCATGATATTAAATGTGCTTTTCACTTGCGACATTTTCAACTTTTCATGAGTGGCTTATTGGGGGTATAACCTCATTGTTAAGCTGGGAGCATTTGTACATGGGTATATGGAAAAAATTAATTTTTTATTTTGTAATTCAGAACCTGTTCTTAGATTAAACTCTCTATGGAAGGAATATATAGTCTAACAAGAAAGATAAAGCACTAGAAATGAGGTGACCTCCTAGCATTCATGCCTTGTTACTAAGTGCTTTGGGCAAGCCCCTTACTGCTGTGAAGGATTGGATCTTGCATTGTTCTTTGCATTGAAATTATGGGAGGTCAATTACATCAGCCTAAAGAAGAACCCTTCAAACATCAAACTTATCTGGAGAAGACCAGGCTGCCTTGCGGGGACCAGAGGGCTCATTTCCGGAGGTGCTCAGTCAAAACCAGTTGTGGGGGGCTAAAGCATCTACTTAGAACAAGCTAAGCTAAGCAAAGCACAGGGACCGCGGTTCAATCCCCCAGCACCACATGCCAGCCAGCCCTGCGCCCTGGTGGGCTGAGCTGGCCACACACACACACACACACACACACACACACACACACAAAAAAAAAATAAAAAAAAAAAAAACAAAAACAAAACCAGTTGTGGAACTGGTGTAGATGAAAGGGAACTGGACCGGGTATCTTCTAGGTCAGTTAGCAAGGTTTTTCTATAAAAGGTGAGAAAATACACATTTTGGTCTCTGCAGGTCCTATGGTCTCCACCCCAACTACTCAACTCTGCTGTCAGAGAACAAAAGCAGCCACAGACAGCACCTAAACAAGTGACTGTGGCTGTGTTTCAACAACATTTTATGAAAACAAGTGGAGGGCCAAGTTTGGTCTATGGGTTTTAGTTTGCTAACCTCTGTTGTAGATTTTTCCAATTAGAAACTTTGTGATTCTCTTCTGATCCCTTGTGTTGTTTGGCTGAACTCTGGCTTTAGGGCTTGCTACAATCACTGATAAAAAACAAATTCTTGCATACTTCTTATTATGTGCTAGGCAACATTCTAAATTTTTGGTAGAAACTAACCTCACGGCAATCTTATAAAATAGCATGCTAGTCAAGGTTTCTTCAGAGAAAGAGAAACAATAGGAAATAGTTAGAAGGAAAGATGGATAGCTGTACGGATACATAAGACATTTCCTGTTGGAATTGTCTCACACATTTATGGAGACTGAGAAGTCCTGAGGCCTGTCTTTGCAAACTGGAAAAGCAGGAAGTCAAGAATGTAATTCAGTCCAATTTCAAGAGCCTGAGAACTGGGATGGGGTAAGAGCTGGTTTAAGTCTGGGAATCCAAAAATCCAAGAATCTGGAGTTCTACCATCCAAAGGAAGGAGAGAAAAAAGGGAGAGAACAAATTCACTCATCTTCTATCTTTTGTTCCATTCGGTTGCTCAGTGAGTTGGAAAATGCCTACTCATTGTTGAGAATGAACCTTCTTTACACAACCTATTGATTCAAGTATCTTCCAAACATACCCTCACAGACACATCTGAAAATAATGTACTAGCTATCTGGGTATCTCTTAGCTTACATAACATTGATGCATAAAATTAACCATCACAAGAAGGTACCAATACTAGATTGTTCTCACTTGACACATGAGGCAATCAAAGCACAGAGACATTTAATAGCTCCTGCAGACCCATGCAGCACATAAGAGGTAGAGCTGGGTGCAAATCCAGGCAGTGTGGCTTCAGAGCCTGTGCTTCTAGCAGTAGGCTAACCCTCCTTTTATTGTAACACTCTGAGTGAGTTACTGCTCTCCATGCATGGCAAATCTCACCTGGGTAGCCTTGCTGTTGTGTGATCTCAGCTAAGTCATCTACCTTCTCTGAACCTTGGCCTCCTTGCTGGACAAAGCATATTATAATATTTATTACGTAGGCAATGTATGCCTTGTGGAAGCACCTTACATAACACCTGAAACAGCAAGTTCTCAGAGGATGCTGATTTCTGCCATAGTGATTTCTGAATTAACAACTGCTGAGAAATGAAGAGGGTCTTGTCCCAGAAATCAAAGTGACAAGTATCCTATAACATTTTTGTTTGCTGGTGTTGTGGAGTTTAAGTTTGTTGTAAAATTGAGGCTTTCCAACCAGGCCCTGCTCTTCCCTACTCTGCCCCTTGCTGTTGGATTTCCAAATGTGTCTGAATTATGCTGTGGGCAGTGAGCCTGTTCTCTAGAGGCGCCTTCTGTGAGCGGGAACTCTGATCCATATCCTGGCCAGGGAAGCCTCCAGCTCTAGCTCCTACAAGTTTAAGTCTCAGGTAAAAAGATTGGGCTCTGTGACCATCACACTGTGAGATAAGGCAGGGAAAGCTTTTTGCACGACGCAGCTCGTGTAAGTATTCAAGCCAGGGCAGCTACTGTCTCTACTGAAATGTGTGAAGGGCCCCCTTAGGGCCATGGCCTATGCTCAGGATTTTTTATACAGCGTGTCATTTGAACCTTCTAACCACCCTACAAAATCATTCAGTTATTATTATTATCCACATTTGACAGAGAAGAAAATCATGGGTCAGATTTATTCAGCCATTTGCCCAAGATCATAATTTAGGGGTGGATCCATGATTCAACCCTAGGAAGCCTGAGCCCAATGCCTGTGCTTTAGCCCTGTTTGCTGTGTCGGTGATGTCAGCAAATCCTATTTGCTTTTGCCTGCAAACCACACCTCGAACCCAACGTCCTGCCACAACTGCAGTTATGTCCCTAAGCCAAGTTTATTGCACTTGTCCGTCAACTAGTCTCCTGGCTTCTATTCTGGCACCCCTTCCTCCTAAAAATAATAATCTGTGTGATTCTTTAAAAATCAGCTCTATTGAAAAAACTGAAATACAATAAAATTCCCAGATTTAAAGTGTACAATTCATTGCAGGGGGAGACCGATCCGGCAGACTGAGTCACTGAAGTCCAGGGTTTGAGAAGACAAAGCCATCAAAGCCCCAACGACTTCCTTTCTCTCCAGCCCAGAGCAGATCCCGAGACCCTGAAGTATTCTCTCCATCTTTGGAATGCACTACTAATTCATTGATAACAGGAAGCTATGAGGACCCTGAGAGTAGCCAGTACAGCTCCTTTCTTTTCCGGAGAATGCTCATTCCACAACTGGACCTGTCTGAGCTGGAAGACCTGGGTCTGTCTGATACACCCACTCACAAGAGCAAGGACAGCAGCACTGGCAAAATGACTGGGAAAGTGATTGGAGCAGAGCAGGAGAAAAACCCTGAAGGTGACATCCTTCTTGAGTACAGCAACTTCAACTTCTGGAGAGCTCCCATTGCCAGCGTCCACTCCTTTGAACTGGACTTGCTCTAAGGCCGAGACTTCTCCCACCACCTTGTCCTCATTGTCTTTCCTTTCTACCGCCTTCCTTCCATTCCTTACCATTTTAATCTTGTTCTCTTCCCTGTAGGGTTGGTGGTGCTGACGAATCTGCCTGGTGAGTTGTATTTATTTATTTATTTACCTATATTTATTCATCTCTTTATCGATCTACTCCATTCCTTTCAAAAGTCCTCAAGCCACAAAATAGGGGCTTAAACAATGGAGTGTTGGGTCACAGGAATTCTGCCACACTCCCACCCTGGGATTATCAACTTCAGAAATGGAAGGCTGATTTTTTTAAAAATTACATTTTAATCAACTTTGAAGATTGCTCAAACCTTCCTAACTTTTTGTTTCAGGCCAGTAAATATAAATATTTCTTAAGGGTTGGTAAAAATCTTGTAAGTTTTAGGGCTAGGGAGATAGCTCAGTGGCATAAGTGTCTGCTTGGCAAGTGCCAGGTCTAGAGTTCGATCCCCAGTAACACACACTTGCACAAAAAATCAAGTTTTAATTTGAGATGACTTATCACAAAACAAAATTTCTAAAAGGCTAAGATGATAAGACTGTTCCTTTTTCAATCTTATTCCAGTGGGCTGAGGATATAGTTGAGTAGTACAGCACCTGTTAGGCAAGTGCAAGTTCTTGAGTTCAATTCCCAGTATGAAAGGAAAAAAAAAACACCCAAAGCAATTGATTATACTTCTTTTTCCTCCCCCTCAACTCCTTCTTGGCCCCAGAGAAACTGAAGTACTTAAAGGTATAAAACAAGAGGAAACAGAACCTTATGGAAAATGAAAATAGGGGAAAGTACTAAATCATTTCAGAAATACTTAAGGCTTTTATTTTGTAAAAGAATGTATATTTGGTCTATGCGCTTTACAACTTTGCCCCTAACTGGGTTGAAAACATGCTGAGAAAAATCAGATTTAGCATCTTTTTTTGAGACAGGGTCTTGCTATGTAGCTCAGGCTGGCATTGAACTTACTTTGTAGCCCAGGCTGGTCTCAAACTCACAACAATCCTGCTGCCTCCACCTCCTGAGTGCTGAAATTTCAGGTGTGCACAGATTTCAAATCTTAAGATATCTTGCTGCCTGGTAGGATAATTTGTAAAGTTTTGAATGTCTTCTAAAGATGATAGTGTTTGGTCTTTAGTGTTTTAGTCTTGCCCTCCTGCATTTGTAATATGTAATACTGATCAGTGGACCTGAGGCCCAGTTCTCCAACTACTTTAAGACTGTGAAATGAACAGTTGCCATTTGACCCTATACCTTGTCCCCACTTCTTCCAAAATTATTGCTGAATTTTGCTGCCATTTGACTGTTATTTAATAAAAACACTCAGTCCCAGGGGGGTAAAAATGTACAATTCAGTGAGTTTTGATAAATGCAACATTCAAGTTCACCACCACTGCAACAATTAGGATATGGAACATTTCCATGAGTGTGCGTTTTTAATAAACCTTAAATCAAATCATGTCAGTCTTTTGCCCAACATTTTTTTTTCTTTTTCTTTTTTTCTGGTATAGGGATTGAACCCAGGACATTGCACTTGCCAGGCAGGTGCTTAAGCTGCTGAAGTATCTCTCTGACCCTCTGCCCAACATTATAAAAGAGTTCTCATCTCCACTGAATAAAAGTAAAAATTCATGCTGTGTCCCACAGGTGCATGGTAAAGGAACAGCTGTGCTTACCAAATGGTTTCATATTCTTCCTGGTAATAACGAAAGGCCATTATTATCCTCGCATAGGATGACAGGGGCTGGGGGAAGCACACTATTAGCTCTGACCCTCAGGAAGAGGACAGAGGTGATGTCCAGATCCTCCAGGCCTGGGTCTGATGTCTCTAGAGAAGATGTCTGGTGCTTTGTTACACCCACTGTTAGTCAGTTTCAAGGACCCCCAGTACACTCTGAGGCCTGGAGGACCTGAAAATTACTTAGAGGGCTGACAAGGGCTCACAGGAGACTGGGAAGTGAGCAGATATACATGTCTACCCGCTTCAACCCCTGAGACTTTAGAGGAATTAGTAACACAGCAATCAGTATTGATACAACCAATGTGAAGGCCCTGCTCACCTTGGCTGTGGCCACTGCTGAGGCTCATTCCTCTCTGGCAGTGCCCATGCTCCCTACTCCAGCCGCACTCATCCTCTTGTATACACCTCCCATGTATGGTCCTGTCTTGGGGCTCTTGCACTTGCTGTTTCTGGCAAGTTGAAAAAGTCTCCCTCCAATATTCCTGTTTGTGGGTCTGGAATCTGTGCACATTATCTTCTATAGAGTAAGATGTTATTAAGCTAAAGATCTTGAGGTGGGGCAGTTATTCTGGATTATCTGAGTGGGTCCAGTGTCATCACCATCATCATCTTCAAAAGAGGGAAGAAAAGGAGCCTTAATAGTGGAAGTGAAGACAGCAGAGTAATTGAAGCAGAAATTGTAACAATGAGGCAGGCACAAGCTAGAAGCTGGGAGCTAGAGGAGGAGAGGGGCTCTACCCCTGCCTGGAGCCTCCAGCAAGAACTCTTGTTGGACACCTTCACTGAACCTCTGGAAGACTCATTTCAGGCTTCTGGTTTCCAGCACTGGAAGAGAAGAAATTTCTGTGTTTTGGGGCCACTAAGTTTGGGGTCATTTTTCATAGTAGCAGCAAGAAACTCATACTGTGTTCTTTTTGTCTGAAATGCTCCTGTGCTGGATAACGAGTGGCTGACCTCTTTACCCATTTCATGACTTTGCCCATTTATTTATCACCTGCTCAGTAAGGCTTTCCCCAAGTACTGTATGTTGGTATGAACCTTGGGACACACTCCCTCCTTTTCCATTTTTCTGGTCTCCAGAGAATTTGATAACTTTTGTATCACATATTCTACACATTTATTTTTATGTACTTACTTCTCCCCCCATTCAAATGTAAATTCCAATATTCTTATCAGTTTGGATCGCTGCTTTGTTTCCTAGGCTGAACCTAGCACATAGTCAGCCCACAGTATATGTTTTTCAAATGAGTACCTACATAATTGGATGGGAAGGAGGTCAACTGGATGGGTCATTCTTGGGATCGTAAGGCCAGCCACGTTTCCAGGATTTGGTGCTTTTTGGATAGATTTCTGCTCCAAGGGTCCCTTCATTCATCCCTTCCTACATATGTCTGGAGGTGTGGCACTCTGTTGGAGGGGTTAGGGGAGATATGAGGTAGTCAGAGGCTTTGCTCCTAAGAGTTGCTCTCTGTTACCAGGACCAATATGGTCATAAATGAGTGAAGCCAGACCCGGGGGAAGAGAAGCTGGGTGCTCATGGGAGGAAGGGAGATGCCTTCATCCATCATCTGGATGAGCTGAGAATGTTGTGGACAGGGGAAGGGAGAGAGCCCTTAAGGAAACACACCAGTGTGAGTAAAGTCCCATGGCAGGCAGTCTGGATGTATGCTGGGGCATCCTAGAAATTTCTTTCCATACAAGTAAGAGTTGGTCCTGGGGAAAATTCTGAGGTGGGCTAGCAAGGTAGACATAAAAGGCCTTAAGTATCTTTCTAGGGGGAACAAGACTTCAGGCTTCAGAGCATGTTGGGCAGGCAGTGAAGGTCATTATAGAAACATTCAGACAGGAGGAAAACATTCTGGCGATTTAACATCGGACCTCATTACCCATTTCTACTTTTCCATGGATTCTGCTGGGGTATCCACTGCAGAGGTAGATACACTGTGCAAGCCCAGGAAGCCCTTTGGAGCTGACCAGTGCCTGCCATTGTCACCTCTCACAGAGCTCCCGCCTTGGACCAGCATGCCATGGCCCCATTCCTTCTCTGAGGGGAGGGCTGGGCCTCTGAGCAGATTTCAGAATCTAGAGTGAGAAAGTCATCTCTGAGTCATGAAGCAGCTGAGAGTCCTAACTGCCCAGTGGAGATCGAGACAGGATGACATGTCTGTGCTTGGACCCTGATTTGCAGGACAGATGGACTCAATATTTTTGCTCTTCATGTTGTTAGAATGGCTACCCATTTGGAGCATGCACGAGGCTCCATGCACGGGGCGAAGGGGTCAGTGTACACATTACACCTTTAAGCCCCATAACCACTGTGCAATGTCAGCTCTATCCCATTTTCCAGAGGAGGTGACTGTCATTCAGAAAGGTGAGAAAAGGTCAGGGAGGGCTGGAGGCTAGACTGGATGCCAGGCTGTTTGATTCCAAAGTCCAGGTTCTTCACACCTGCCTATTCTCTGAAAGTGCTACTTCAACTGGAGTCCAAGGCACCCAAGATCCATGGATAAACCCAAGGGCTTATGAACAGAAAGAGGAAGAGCAATCACATCTTTATTTCACCTGCTCTCCAGCTGGAATGCAGAAAATCTTTCATTATGAATTATTGCTAATTCTTTTTTCATCCTCTATCTCTTCCATTCTTTCCTGCTCCTTCCAGTGCTTCTCATTTGCAAAAGCTCTGTTTCCATTTTTCTTCCATTCTGTAGTTTTCATCCCTCTTTCCTCCCCCCTCTTCATCTCTTTCTTCCCTTCCCATTTACAAATGATCTTCCACTTGCTATTACTTTATTCTGTACTGACAATTTGGGTTTCTCATATTAGGGAAGCCATGTACCAACTGGTCTTGTGTGTTTGATTTATTTAATATTAGGGTTCCAGGATGCCTCAGTTTACTTATGAATGGCTCAAATTTACCTTTCTTTATGGTAAAGTGGTACTGCATGTGTATAATTACCACATTTTCTTTTTCTATTCATCTGTTGATTTCTAAGATCTAGCTATTATGAATTGTGCTGATATAAACATGGGTATGCATGTCTAACCATAATGTGATGACTTCAACTCCCTCAGGAAGGTACCTGGAAGGGGAATAGCTGAATCAAATGCAATTTTTAATTTTTAGCTCTTTTGAGCAAACTCTATGCTGATTTCCATAGTGGTTGCACTGTTCTACATTCCCACTGACAAAGGAGAAGGGTTCCTTTTTCCCTGAAGGAGATTTTGGATTTTTAAATTAAGGATGCTCAATCTGTACTGAAGTTATAGTTA